TGGTTCCACTAGCCTGCCAACTGCCAGGCCCACTCTTGTAATGTCGTCCGGATCACAGTGTGTCGTAACGGGCTGATCGCGCTGATGTCCCCGCAGAAGGCAACGATCGTGGACACGTGGCTAATCCCTAGGGCGGATTGCCGATGAACAGCTACTGCCTCCGCCACCACAACCGCATAGGTGCCGGCGCGTGCGAATCGGAACTCAGCTGCCGCGTATACTCCCTCGGTGCAGAAAAATCGTGCGAGTCGCAGAAGATCTGTGCTGAACTGCGGATGATGGACCTGCCGGATCGCTGAGATGTAACCACGTGGTGCCAACATATGATCGCCAAGAGCTTGCTCCGTAAGAAAACTCATGGCGATGGTGGCGGGGACAGGGTATCAGAGGGAGAGCAAGACAGAGAAGGAGAAGCGAGGGATAAGCAGTCGTTGTCTTCTCCCTCAGCGGAGGACGAAGCGGGTGAAGGTAGAGATGGGGAAGACGGGAGGGGACGTAGATAGGACACGTGGCGGGTGATCGGGCGAGCTGATCAGCTGCCAGAGACCTCCGGCATGAGACGCACTATGTTCACTCCGTTTGGTCCAAGCTCGACTACTCGGAATCGCCCGAAGAATTGTGGCGCTAGCTTACCCTGACGAGCACATTCCCTTACCTGCACGGTGTCCCCCAATTTATACTGGGGCCGTGGACCCGCATTCCCGTTCCGGGCCTCGTAGCTGCGGGCCTGTCGGCCGTGGGCCAACTCGATCATTTTCTGGCGCTTTCCAGCCAGCCTAGGAAGGGACCGTTCCATCAGTTCCAGGTGCTGTTTGGCCTTGTCCCAAGCCTTAGCTCTCGTAGGACGCCGGTTTAATGCCGATTCGTCGGGGAGGCTCGGTATGGAAACCCAAGCCACGCTATTGGTCCGTAATTGAAAAGGGCTCAGGCCCGTCGATTCGTGGGGCGTCCCGCGATGGACCGCCAAGATGTGATCTACAATGTGAGGCCAAGGCCTCGGATCCCGTGCCGCGATGTTACGTCGAAGTGCCGTCTTAATCACGCGATTCGCATTTTCCACCAATCCGTTGGATTGGGACATGTGTGGTGCCGTGTTCCGAATAGCGACGCCGTGTATGACCAGGTTCCTCAGCACTTCCCCTCTGAATTCTGCCCCGTTGTCGGTCAAAATTTCTTCCGTGTCCTCGTGCATCCCGATAAAACGGTTGACGTATCGTGCGATCTCAGATGCCTGCCGCGTGCGACACGGATAGGCCTCGATCCATTTGGAAAAGTGGTCTACGAACACTAGTATGACTGAATACTTGCAGCCATTAGGTCCAGGGGGCACCACAATATCGGTAGTATCCATGCTCAAATCCCCGTCCACAACCAGCGACCATGCTGTGGCCGCCGCTTATTTTCCAATGCTTCCATACCACGAAACTACCCACCAGTGGTACCGTTTTTTATTACGAGTCAGCAATGCCTGTGACAGAGGAGGTCGACGAGGTTGTGGAGTTCAAAGACAGGGACAAGATGGAGGGCCGACATTTCGTTGTTAGCGTCGAAGAGGATAGAGTCATAAGACTAACAACAAAGACGTACATTCGATATCATGCCATAGAGCACATTCGGGTGCGCATGTCAAAGCCGACATCATACTTCAATAGCCTCGTTGTCAGTCTCGTCCAAGGTGATAAAATATATGATATCGTGTACCCTCTTGTGCATCGTTTGTTGGAAACACACTATGGCACAGTTGCTCGGGACGGTGTGTGGCGCCTTGTTGTGTCTCCGCCTTATTTTGTTTGCAATGGCGAGGATTTCTCTGCCATGTTCATTCCTTGTTGTGGGGACAGGCGCTAATTTTTCGCCGCACTACTTGCAGATCGAGAGTTTTCGGGAGCGTGATGGACCGGCGTGCCCCGCACGATGGCCGCGAGGACGAGGACGACTTCATGGAGTACGGCAACCGAGCGAGACAGAGGAGATTGATGCGTGGTCGAGGTGGAGCGGGTATAGGGCCGAGAGGTAACGGACCGCGCCATCGGCAGGGTCAGCATACTGTGCGCCGACCAGGTCCTCCCCCGCCGCATTTGAACGCGGCGCAGATTTGAGCAGCAAGGCCACACCCGGCTTTTTTGGTTCAGAGTGCGGTTATGTACATCGGTTTGGAGGACAGGATGGACGAGTTCATGCAGACGCTTGTGGGGGACGACCGCCTGCCCGCGGCGTCAAACGGGTTCGCGGGGTACAGGGACTTCGCGGCTCTCTGTGGCTACGGACGACGGCAGCGATTGCCGGGAGAGTTCGAGGAGGCCATGCGGATGCGCTGGCCGAACCCAGCGAACGACGGTTATGTTGGCTTCATTCCGGATCCATCTGCTCCTCCGGAAAATGACGACCCGCGGCCGGGGTAGACACACACACACACACACACACACACACACACACACACACACACACACACACACACACACACACACACACACACA